TATGTTTTCACCCCTGTTTGTCTGTCATCAACATTACTCAAAAAGTTATGGACCGATTTTGATGAAATTTTCAGGAACTGTCAGAAGTGGGTCAAGGAGGACAATGATTAGTTTTTGGTGGTGGTTCGGATCAATAATGTATCAATAATCAATAATTATCAAAAAATGCTGCCTTGGCAGAGGTCTGCACTCTCAGAGTGCTTTTCTAGTTTTGTTATGTTTTCCTTTTTAATTTTTTCTGAAACACTGGCATTTGTGACTTTTAACTCCCATCTGCCTGAGGCTCTGCACATTTTCTGTATTTCCACATAAGCAGTTATATTGGTTTTTATGTCTTTAAACATTGTGTAATATTATTTTATGCACTGTCATCATTTTTCAAATATTGGGACTTTCATCATGTGAATTTGAAACTCTCATGGTCCTGAAAGTGTAATCTTATTGAAGGGATGGATTGAGACCATCTTCTGGGTCTTCCGGAAGACGGTCGGGTTTTTAAGTTTATATTGACCGATATTTATTTTTTTTCTGTTGGAAGACAATCAAAATGGAGGATGGATCAACAAAGATACTTTGGAATACTGCCAGAAAATATCTCTGGGTCCGTTTCCTGTTATTGCCCATGTTACCTGTTGTGCATGATTAAAATTCAAAATTGACTAACAGTGCTATTATAAGCATTATTTATTATTGCATCAAAATTGACAAAATGACCTATTTTGCATCATTATTTTCTGTTTTTTTGTCTGTACATTTGACAGCTTTGCTGCCTTGTAAATGTTCAGGCCTAACAGCTTCATCATTCGATAAAGAACTGTTCCATTTCAGTTTCCTTCCCTTTTCTGTTTTGGTGAAAAATGGTTGGTTTCACCTGCATGGAAGGTGTGGGACGACCAAAGATGCTGCTGACTTTGCCATATGTCTGCAGGTTAATTTAACCATCCACCTTAATTGGTTTATTGTCAATACAGTATGCTTCTTTTCACATTCATACCTTTGACAAGGCAGGAAAAGTGACCACTAGTGTACTAAATTGAGATTATTGTGGGTTTTTCTTTTCTATTTTGTTATTCAAAAAATTCTTTCATGAAAGTACACCAAGTTCTCCAGATATTTTATCCATGGAAACCTTTTAGTTTCTATTAAATTGTTCTAGGTTGGAAAGATGGATGCTGTCCTTCCCAAACATATCCCATTCACAGTGCTGTCTGGAGATAAGGGGTTCTGTGAACTGGAAAGACAGCTGGCCAGATCAGAGAGGAGAGCAGTAGTCATAGACCCACACATGAAAACACCAGAGATGGTGCACACCTTACTGAAGAGTGTGGCTGATGTATGAATAGGTCATGCGCAGCACAGCATACTTATTAATTTTTTTTATTTTTTCGATTTGATTTTTTTTTCATTTGCGAATGTTGACGCTTGAAATTTATAAGAGAAAAGGTGGGAGTGGTGCATCAACAAATTCAAATAACCAAAGGCAATAGTGACAATAATTTTTTTCCTTTTGCAGTCTCTCTAAGTTTAATGAGTGACTCACATTGACTTGGATTCAAAGACATATTCTATCACTGTGTATATATCAATTTCAGATTATCCATGTTGACATCAGATAATCCACAGTTGACATAACAATGATTAAGATATAACTTGGTCAAATTAAAATTTAAGAAATGTTTTATGTACGTAATTATATATTGCTCTGTACATAATCCATTTAACATGTTTACTGCAAAACTTAAAAAATTCTACTCCGCACTGGTAATGTAACAAAGACAAAACCTGAACATGTTTCATTGATGTTTGTTCTTGAACTTTGTCATTTAGAAAATAAAACTGTCCTCTAAAAGGTTGTGTAAAGTCTGTATGATTTTAATATCATTAAGATAAATCCTGCAAATGACATAACTCAACATGCCATCTCAGCTATTATGTAGGTCATTGATAAGATTGCAGCAACCATCCACCTTGCCAGTGAATCTCAAAGCATTCTACATTGTGTATCTCTGCTTTCTTTAAACACAATATGCTAATGTGGCATACATATTTATCGTCACAGCAAGAGGAGTCTTGATTTTAGGGGGACCTATATGTTTGCCTACTGATTACTTTTGAAATAGTGTCGAGAAATGCACTCCTTGTCTGACTAATCTTGTATCAGCTACACGTACATTGACCTAGCAGTGGGGAAACGTGGACCAATGCCACCAAGACGCATTAAGTGTGCCGGCAGTAGGATGTGTGGATTTATGAAGCTAATTGTTTTCAAGTCAAACTTTTCTATTTAGTTTAATATTTACCGAGGTGAGTTAATCTTCTCACCCTCATTGCTGTATATTCAGTAGCATTAACTGATCAAACAGGTCTGTCATTAGTGTACAGGGTTTCACTTTTCAGACTTGCGTAATATTGCGATGTGAGAACTTTCTTAATCATGTCTGCAAATAAGACCAATAAGGATAGGTTAAAGTCTTCCATTGTTCTTTATGTATTTGATAACTTGAGAAACTATGCTAATTTTATTTGTTCATCTAGCAGGCTTAATGGTGTATTGTGATCTTCCAATATTTGCTCAGTTATGGTGACCTGGTAATCTTTTACTTCTAGGTTGGTCAAAATGGCAGTTTGGCAGGCTGTGTTGATCCCTTGCAGCGTGATGACTCGTACTACTGGCTGTATCCCCAGTTTGTTCTGAGCTGTATACTTTCCAGGGAAATTCTTCCATGACATATAGGATATCACAAACAAAAAGTGGCCAAGTTGAAATAACTTTCAGATTTAGAACTTGGCAGTCAGATGCACTGCTTCTTCAGCAGTTTTTAAGTGTCAATGGAACGTTGGAGGAAAGTTATAATTTTGCACTGGATCTTCACAGGGGACATTTAAGGGTATCAGTTGATAATGGAGTTGACACACAAGAGATTACGATAGGGAGAGGTAATGAAAATGGGTTACTCATAGGAAATACTTCATTTAAATTTTCAAGATAGTTTTAAAATTTTGACATGACACATATTGTTTACTTATGAGCCACCATAAAATACTCATAACTTTTTTTCAACTGTATTCATAGATTATAGTAATTTTCTGTTCAGCCTGTTTTTAAATTATTTTTTCAATCATTTTTCCCAGGTTTACAGCACAATAACTGGCACTTTGTCACTTTCACCCAAAGTATGAGTAGAAAAGCAGTATCTGTTAGATTAGATGAAGATGAAAAGATATTTAACTTCACTTTTCCATCCATTGCTTTAATGCCTTCATGTGACTCATTGATATATTTTGGAGGTAAGAAGATTATTAAAACTGTATATATACACACACACACACATATATATATATATATATATATATATATATATATATATATATATATGTAACTGCAACACGTGGAGCAGTGATTAGTGCGAGTAGTCAGTGAGATGTGTTC